CACCTTCATAAAGGTTGAAACTCCCCAACGTCTGTCGAGGACGAAATCCTTTTTCCACATGTTTTGTTTGCTCTTCTTTTGTGATGCGATGGCTGGTGCTGCATGGTACTGCTGTTGTGAGTTTCCCTGCGTGCAGGCGGGAAGACCTAGGTAGAGGGATGAAACAACAAACGAAAAGACGATCCAGCTTGATTGACCTAGCGCTCCGCGCCGTGGAGCTTCCCAAAAATCCGTACAAAAGGCGGTTTTTCCACGGAGCAGTTTGAGCTACTCCGTCACACGAGCATGGGTAAAATCGCAACACAGCAGTCACGGGCAAAACCGCAAAAATATCATGATTTTCCCACGGAGTCACGGAGTTTTTTCGTTTTTTCTCTCTGTTCTATTTTATTTTCATAGCAGGACGTACTGTTATTGGGTATGTATGTACCTAGCATGTGACAACCTTCAACGAGAGGCAAGCGAGGAATCATCTGCTCTTGTGCGTGTTGCAGGGTCGTTTGAGTCGAGGAGTTATGTATTAGGTAGCACTGTGAGTGCTGACAAAATTTCAACGAGCGGCAATTTACAAGTGAGGAATGATGTGCTGTTGTTGCACGTGTTGCGGGAACGTATAAGTCGAGGAGGTGTATGAGGTAGAAGTACTGGCAAGTTTCAACGAGAGGCAAGTCAGGAATCATCTGCTGTTTTACGTGTTGCAGGAACATTAGAGGAGTCGAGGAGGTATCGATGCCGGGAACGGTCCTTTTCTGAATAACTGATTAATTGGGCTGTCCTGGCGGCGAGGACGCATACACACGTACGGTGTCACCGGCGGCTTCCAACCACAGCACACTCTGCGGAAAATCGCCTTTCGGTGTACAAACCCAACGTTTTTCACGAAACTGCAGGTACTCCGTCGATATTGTACGGATTTCCGTGCGGTTTCGACGGTTCTTCTGACGGAAAACCGTCCTCAAGGCCAAGGTTTCGCGCGGTTTATGCTACGGATTACTAAAACCGCTCCGTGAAAAAAAACGCACTACGGATATACCGCTCCGTGACATAAAACAAAAACGTTCCCATCCGTGGGGCTTTTGCCCTCGGATAACTCGCTCCGCACCGATCCGTGACATTTTCAAATGAAAAAAACCGCTCCCCTGCGCCCTGTAGAACTTGAAAAAAGAACAAACTTCTCCGCGGAGCCGCGGAGCGGTTCTACTCCGTGAGTTACCCTGATATATTTGCATCCGTGTGAGAGAACGAACCCTTCCGGCAAGGATGGAGGTGGCATATATGTTTGATATGGATATGCTCTTCTCCTGGTTGCGCTGTTTTCGGGAAGTTTTGTCTGAAGTAGTGCACCGGGTGGTACACACGCACCCGATCCCTCCCTACGACGCGCGTGTAGTGAATATCCGTTTCGAGTTTACAGGATCTTATGCACACGATCGAATATATACCAATATGTACATAAAACCCAACCCTGTACACGTAAGTTCCCCTGAAAAGATATGTATCTACTCTATTCAATCAGTGTTGAAGACTGGTCCGGAAATAAGGTTTGATACGATACGCCAACCGTGACACCAAAAGCATCGATATCGATTTTTTCTTCGAAATTCGGGAAAATGGCTCGATACGGCCGTCTTGGGGGTTGTTTTCTGTTTTCGGGGCAAACAGCAGTCAGGATAGTAATAAAAGATACCTCCCCACCATAGGCGGGTTTTTGTGATGAATCTTCTGCATTTCCGTCCGGTCAAGTGTTATCGACCTCCCCTTGGACAGTAAAAAATGGACACCCGGCGAAATTGTTTACCAACCCCCCCTTGGTTTTGATGTGCCGGGGCCCCCCAATGGGACAGTATCGAGGGCATCGAATACTGATTTATATCTCGATGACGAAACTGATTCGTATCGAGAAATATCGGCGTGGAGACCGGCGATACCTATACCGCATATCGCCGACTGTATTCGAAATTGAACTGAACTTGATACCCAATCTCCAACCCTATATTTAGGGGTAGGTATTGTGGACTCGAAGGATCCGCAAAACGATAAAGCAACAAAAAGGAGGCAGGTAGTCTGGAGCTCATGCAATAGTGAGGTGAAAATATAACGGGAGTCAACATCACCGGCGTCCCCTGGTTCAACCTTGGTGCCCCTTTGTATGCATAGTGCTGTCGAGGTGTTCCGCGTTGGGTTCTCGCCGGTCAGGTAGAATCAGAAAACACACGATCCAGCCGGTCTTTCTCCCACTCAAAACAAGGTTGGGTGTTGTTGCCGCTCGCTGTGTTCCATCGAAAATCGAATATCGGAAGTGTTACCCAGATTGGACATTGATTGCTGCACCGCCAAAAGCTCACCGATGCAAGCATGACAAAATCAATAACGATACAATAAGTAGATCGAAATTGAAAATCGCAAGCGTAAACGGAAAACATCAAGTTGCTTGCTAGCTGCTTGCAGGCTCGCTGAAAGTTGGAGATACCTTCATTTCGCAACTCATCCACTACTGCTGTAGCCACCTACAGACCGCTTCGCGAGGTAAACTGTGTACCATACACTTCGTTGGCAAAAAGCTGGCACCCAGCAGAGCACAGCGTACTTTCGTTGAGCGAGATCTGCTTTAAATTGACAGAGAGAATCATCGACGACGTGTCTTTGCCAACGGCATCATTTTCGGCTTTCCTGCATCTCTGTCTCAAACATTTTCTACCCATGCCCTTCGACTGCCCTGGTTGTATAGTAATGTGATACTTTTTTATGAACGTTTTACGATGTGATGACGCCATAAAAATCGAACGGGTAGCTCCTCCTGGATTGCATTCGAATATATGTATTCTAAACGCATCGCGAGCGTGGTGTATGTCGTTTTGGGCATTGTTACCTGAAACGTCGCTGCTGTGGCGACTGACCACGCGCACACATGGATGGGTAAGGTTGCGTGTTCTGTTCCGAAAGGTGATGTGCTCGCAAGGAAATGCGGAAGTGGATGTTGAATAATTTGAAGGTGAGAGGTTGTTGGCCGGGAGAATCTGTGCTGTTGCTGGTATCTTGTTTAGTCTAACGAAGGAGGTCGTGACAGCAAGTTTCCGTCGTGTGTGCAGTGCTCCGTAGACTGGTGCCATGTGACCACAGTGGAGGGCGTGGGCACGATGCNTTTAGTCTAACGAAGGAGGTCGTGACAGCAAGTTTCCGTCGTGTGTGCAGTGCTCCGTAGACTGGTGCCATGTGACCACAGTGGAGGGCGTGGGCACGATGCGTCAAGGGCTGCACCCGGTCCAGAAGCGGATCGCCGAGATGCACGGCAGCCAGTGTGGCTTTTGTACCCCAGGTGACGGTGATTGCTGCTGCTACAAAACCGTTGTTAGGCCACTTGTTACGCTGTCTCTTTTTGAGCTGTCCCTTTTCTCAAAAAGGGACAAAGTTGCCCAAAAAGGGACAGGATGGGGTGATCTTTTTTCGCTGTCCCTTTTCGGGAGGTTCAAAAACGCAAAAAAAGACCACGTAACAAGTGGTTTTTGGTCAGTTGTCTCTTTTTGAGAAAAGGGACAGCCCAAAAAGAGACAGCGTAACAAGTGGCCTTACCGTCCTGTTGCTGCTGTTGTTTGGATTTCCATTATCTCTTTGGCTGTTACCCAGGACTTGCGCACCTCGTGATAACCCAACTGCTCGAAGCAATCGATAGTGTTATCTCGGTACTGCAGTCTCGTCGCTAATATTTTTCTCGTTGGTTTTATCTTGCATTCGTCGCTCCATGTTTGTTGAGTGCAGATGTCCTATTTATCATGATGGCACACGCGTGTTGGGAATATCGGCATTTCGATCACAGATGTAACAGTATAGTTCTAGTTGTTGTCCCGCACACGTTCAAAAGAGGCCGAACTGCAGACTCCGATTGTGGTTTTGGTTTTCCAAGACTCCAAGGACAGAAAAAGGAAGCACATAACGAAACACTCAAGAACGTGGACGCCGGTGTGTGTGTCATGGTGCCCAGGCATTAGCGTTGCACTGGGGTCCACACTGTCTCTCATGCCCACCTTTGAATAATCTTGCCAGGAATCGTCATGGCGCTGTATGCCCTCCTTCGCTCTAACCCTTCGGCCACCGCCGCGGAGATCGAGGATGGATTGGACGGTAATCTCTGCCGTTGCACAGGTATTGAAGCATTGAGTGCTTACTGTGGTCTGATGGATCATCTTTAGAGAGATATTTGCGAAGATCCGAGAAGTGTACATTTTCTTTCCATCGCACTGGCGTTTCGGTCGGTATCTCCGGGTCGTCCTGTTACCGTTGTTTGTGACGGTTGAGACGTTTTGCACAGCGGTTGCCCAGCAGAGTCTTATCGCCACACTGATGGCGATTCGCGTTTGTTCATCAGGTGTAATATAGGGTTTAGCAGTTATGTGCCGTTCGTATAGTCAAGACGGACATTCGCGGAGATCAACGTGCTCCTCCTTGTCGAACGCCTCGGAATCCTTTATCAATCCCAGCCATTGGTGCATTCCCATTTCCGTTGAAAACCAGTGGGCGCACAAGGTGGTGCAAACCCTTGCTTTCTGTATTCCCCGCGGGGACGACACGCCTCTTAAGGACGACAGCTGATCCCCCTGCTGTATCTGTTCGGGGATAAGTCGTGTTTTAGGGCATTCGTTGCTCCTGCATGGGCCGCCTTAACCACAGCACCAGTGAATGCTCTTGTCGAAAGCTGGAAGGCATCGCACACGTTTCTCGTTTGCTTGATGATTGTTCTCCTTCTGGCCAACGCCGCCATTTGTCGAGGTTATGCAATAATCAGCGCGTAACCTACGTGCGAGGGTGCTGTAGGCTGGTAGTTGTGAAGGCGGATTTCTTTTCTGCGCCATTGGGGCCTTCATCGATGAAAATGACAGAATGTTGCTGGCACCGCATACATGTAGATTTGACGTTTTTTGTTGTTGTGATCCCAGGTTTTTAACGTCGCTCGAAGCTGCCTGCTATCGATCTGCAGAGCTCCGATCCGGCGCCATGTAAATGGTCATGCCTTTCGCGATGCACTCCTCCATTTGTTTTTTCCCCCGAGATTGGCTCAGCAATTGCTGTTCCCGAAGTACGCTGTATCTGGTGGTTTGTCAGTGTGTTTGTTGATTTTGGTCTGCTGTTTTGCTACAGTGATGTGGATCCTGGACGGGCAGTGCGGTTCCGGCGCAAGGCGGTGGTGGGGCTGACCAGACACGCTGCCCAGATCGTGCAACCTATGGCCTACTGTTGTGGAATTGTAGAACCTACAGCTTTCAGCGTAGGAAGGAAAATTGTTCTTGTGTTCGTTTTCTTGTTGGCGCGAGACTTCTTTCGTGGCCTTCCTTGCAGAGGACCATATCGCTTTGCTCGCCCATATGGTCACGGTCACATGTCGGGACCCCACCCATACGCCGTGTGTCCTTATTCGCAGGGCATTCGGACTTGGAAGGGCACACGTATACGTTTCTGATCGCCGGCTCGTCTGCCCTAAAGCAGGCATGGCGCAAAGCAGATTCCCGCCTCTTGCACAATTGAAGCATTTATTTTTTTCGTGTTTTTCGAGTTGATGGACTATGGACGCGACGTTCCACTTGTTCTCCGTGTAAATCCACTCCTTACCCTGCGATGGAAATTATGGTTTGCGTTTGAAGGCTATCGGCCTATTCTGGACGCCGCTAAAAGCCTTGGCGTGGACGGTGGAAAGCGTGCCGGGTGCTGCCGTGGTGATAGCGGCGGCTGCCCTTGCTTGGAGTCCAAGGTGGGTATATGCACTTTTTGTCGTAGCTGTGTGCCGATATTCGTTGATTTGGTGGTGAAATTGACCCAAGCAATCGTTTGCTCGACACCAGTCGACGACCTGTTCGCTCTGGGTGGAATGGAGCTATCTGCCCGCTATTCAAAATCGCTCTTGATCCATTGTTAAGGGCAAACGTGTGGGTTGTCAAGATGCTGGCAGCGACAGACGGTGCGTGCATTTGATGCGATGGCAATCAGACCCCCCTTCTCCGAATGGGTTCTGGTTCCGTATTTGTTTCTTGCTGATCTGGAACTGGCGTTCGGCAGCTGATTCTTTCACTAAGATATTTTTTTTCCCAGATTGCTTCCATCGCTCCAGATTGTTTTCGTTATTGTCTATTCTTCCTGACGTGTGTGTGTGCCTTATCAACTCGATGTTGGCCCGCACACACCCTTCCCGCCCGCCGCTGCCGTTGTTTGGGTCGGTTCTAACACGGTCGTGACCTTGGCCTGAACCCACGTGTGCCTTGCCGGCTGCTTGCTAGGGTCGAAGGTGAAAAATACGCACCATGCCTCGCCTCGTTGGTGCCTGTTGTGGGTTTTGCTTCTTTCGCCACCAATGCTGCTCCCCTCGTCTGTACACAGGCGATGACAGCGGCCGCGAGCGCTTCCGAGAACGAAAACGACAATGATACCACTACTGTCGTCGACGACCACGATAAAGATCAAGTTCTCTCGGAGACGTCCTCCATTCTGTCCACCGCAGCTACCGATGGATCGGTGGTCCCTCCCAGCGGCCCCCTTTCTGTTTCCACATCTGGTGACGACGAAACCGTCGCAAATGAGACCGCTAAAGTGGTCGGCGGTGGCCGCGGCGGCGGCAGTCGTTGCTCGGGAAAGAGAGAATGCACCATCAGCAGGGCGAGAGACTCAAGGTACAGCAGTAGTTTCCTCCTGGACCCACGTGTTCTTCCAGCGTGGGACGCGTAAGGCAGTTGATTCGAACCGAATTTTCGCCATCGCGTGCGAAAATATACATTTTGTCGAACGACCAGGAATATATACATCTTGTCGTACGACAAGAAAATTCTCATTCGGCGGGGAGCCCGCAGAATTGAGTTGGCCCGGGTTTCCCCCCCCGTGTGACATTTTTGTACGTTGTCGAGTTTGGGTAGGCGTTCCGTGTGTTTTTCAACGATTGGCTGGGGTACCGGGCGTATCGATGCAAATATTTGCACTGCAGTGGAAGTGGGGAAGTCGACCAAAGAGCACTTTCCATTCCGCGGGGAACGCATGAACCGGTTAGTGTTTGCTTGTGGGTCCCTGTGTTCTGGTGGGTAGTGATTTGTCAATCGCCCCTTGAGAACCAACACCTCGGCCTACGAATGCTTCCAGGTACAGCACGAGGTACACGGATGTAAGCGAGCCGATATTCCCGGCGGAGCTGATGCTCAAGGCACCGTCTGCCGTGTCCATCGTGGGAGACAGTGTCACTTGGCACTGTCCGACGTCCCTTTCAGAGCTGCTTCGGCTCAAGGCAGAATACCCCAAGGCCAGGATCGTTGCTGGGAATACGAGGGTAATTCTTACAGGACAACGTCAGTTCGACTCGATATGCCCGGATTACGTCTTCTTTTGTTGCTGGGTTGGCTTTCGTGATTGTCTTTTTTGGGTCGTTGGGTTGGCATGGTTTTTGCGATGTGATGGTGCGAAGGTGGCCGACTACGACCCATTAAAACGACCGCGTTTTATCTTCATATTCCAATTCACCTTGAAAACGTTTAGACCTTGGCATTGCACGTCAGAAGCAGTCCCTGTACAAGGCATGTAAATGAGGCCGGTTGCCCCATTGAATTGGCGTGACACAGATGGATATTGATGTCGTGTTGCACTGCTGCGAATAGTGCTGGTGCCCGGTACAACGCCGGCTGAATCGCTTGGTACAACACGTCGTTGTTCAGGAACCTCTACTGTAGCCCCTGTGGGCAACGTTTCAGTTTTGGCTTGTTTCCAGTCGTCGTCAAATATGTGCGCAAGCCCATCATCAAGGGGCGGCACGCCTTCGCGTGTGTTTTTGTGTCAACTCTTGCGCCCCCTTTCCGAACGTGGTTTTTGGCTGGCTGCTTGCGTTGCCCTTGTCGTTGGGGTTGGGTAGATATCATGTGGTGGCATGAGTCTCTTGAACGTTGGCTGGTGCACGTTTGGGAAACGCACAACTCGAAACCGGATTGATTTTCTGGTTGTTTTTAATGTTTCATTTCTGGAGGCTTCGTTTGATGGGTGCATGTGTGTCTCTGTACGGCGAGCCAGCGCGAGATCTCGGTGCGTGAGAAGAGCACTGGCATGGTAGTTTCTTATGTCGCTACGCTTTCGTTTGGTTTACAGAAACAACTATAGCCGTCACCGGCGATAACAACGACACTGACTACACGCGATTGTGCGAAAACGCGATTTTTCGTCCAGGTTGGCATCGAGGTGAAGTTCAAAGGCATGCACTACCCGGTGCTTATCTCCCCCGCCCGCGTGCCCGAGCTACACGCCATCACGCGAGGGAGTTCAGATGACGGAGGCGTCTCCATCGGCGGGGCCGCTTCCCTGTCTTCCGTGGAGCACGCTCTCGCCGAGATTGACGGTAGGAAGAAGGGAGCAGGAGGCGGGAACGGAGGGGCAGCCGGCGCGTGCGTTGACATGTTGAGGTGGTTCGCTTCGACGCAGATCAGGAACGTGGCTTGTCTGGCGGGTAAGAAGGGGGAATTTGTCATGGTGTGGGGGTGATTTGAGATGTTGGTCTGGTCATGGCGATCATTCTAATCACGTTGGGTTGGTTACGGTGTTTGAGATGGAGTGGGGGGAAGGGATGGTGATGACGGCACATCAGCGCGCCAGAAACACACCTCCAACATCGCGACACGCGATACGATCTGAACACCTGTGGGTATCCGGATTCGCGGTTGCGTTGATTTTCTTGGGATCCCTTTTCCCTGTTTGATTTCACTCATAACACAGCACGCTTTTTGGGAAATTATGTAGCCTGCGACCACGAAAGGTGTCGACTCAGTTGGACCATTATGAATATTTTGAAGGTACGAAACAGAGATGGGCACGGATTTATTTATGTAACGATACCCCAAACTTCTGCAGGAAATCTGGCAACCGCCAGCCCAACCTCGGACATGAACCCGCTCCTAGCCGCGTGCGGTGCGGACGTCGTCCTCCAGTCGATAAGGGGCGGGGAGCGCCGCATCAAGGTCCGCGATTTCTTTCTTGGGTGAGTTGACGATCGCCGTCGTCCTTGTTCTTGTTTTTTGAGGCGGTGGTGTGTGCTGCTACTGCTGCAGCTCTGTTGGTTGGTATTGTAGCCATTGTGATCCAGATCCTGTCGTTCCGCTTGGGCTGCCGCGATTCTTACGTGCGTTTGCTGTTGGTATTGATATTGGTCTTGGCCATAGGCTTTCCTGCTGCGGTTGTGCCTCTTCGGGTCCTTACGGGTTATCTCGTTGAGGTACCATCTGGTGTCGAATGTGAGGTAGATGCCAAAGCTGGTCATCTCGCCTTCAAATTTCAGCCCTCGTAAACGCACATCCTGGGCGCCCTTGTAGGTACCGCAAGGTTGCAATGGAGGAGGACGAAGTGATCGTGGCTGTGTTTCTCCCCAACGCCGCTTCAGAGAAAGGCAATGATAGCCAATTGTCCCCTCCCTCGTCGTTCGAGTTCATTCGACCGTTCAAACAGGTACGTGTGTCCGTGCACGTATTAGTCGTATGTGTGGAGAGGTGCATGGTTTCAGACGCATGAATCATGGCTCGCTATCAAGACCGGATGCAATAAGTGACTCCAATTGGTGGTGGAACATTTCATCTGCATGTGGAGTTTTGATTGTCCCTATAGTCGCCATCGACTGTAAATTATCTATGTAGGGGTTGTGGGGTTCGGAAAGACGCATGTTGCCTGACCTCCATCTGCACAAGCAAATTGGAATTTGTTGTAGAAACGCCAGGCGTGGGACCTACTAAAATCCATTCCTGTAGGGTGCGTATCAGTGACGACGACTTGAATTCTTGGTCTGCGGGCGGCGGTGAAAAGCTGGATGTGGCGTCGTCGGTACTCTGTATACGAATGTAGCGATAGCGCAAGCTGGCGTTCCAGCCACAGTCAAGGCACCTGGGTATCGTGCAGCAAGGAGACAACAAGAGTGAAATCCCTGGGGCGTACTGTGAAGTCGTGTCGGCTGTCAGTGTCCGCAAAGCGAGGCGGATTCACGCAGTTCCATAGCGCGAAGGATGTACTATACTTCCTCTGACCGGGAATATAAGGCCGTTCGGACATTCGGGAACATTAGGCCGGTTCGTAGTTTAGGTGATTGGAAGCTCGTTTTATTGGATTTTTTTTTTTGCACGATGTTCGGATAGTATAGGCGCCTGTATTGGGGAAAGGAATGGGGAGTTTCTCGTGCCATCCCCTCCCCTGAGAAAATCAACCCGGGCGACAATTGCAAGAGGAAATTGTCAGGATGGAAACACTTCGTGTTCTTTCTCCAGTACGGCCCCCCAAAAGCTTTGCTCCTGATAGTTGTTTTGCCTTGTAACTTTGACGACTTAGATTAGACCGCACTATTCAATTGTGGGGCGTTTGTCATTGTTGTTAACCGGAAGAAAAACTTCAGGGTGTGGCGAAATTGCAACACTTGAAAGAGGACAAACGACCGGAAGAAATTGTTTTTAAACAGTGAGCGGGGATCGAAGTCATGACCCTGTGCTTCCGAAGTCTTCAAGATGATCCGCCTTTCCTCCGAACCTGCCATAATTTCCGGTCAAGGGGACAACTGTACATTGGACTCTAGCTATGAATCCCCTGCAATGCGCGTTTTCTGCGTTGTCGACATTTGCAGCACTCAAATTTCGGCACCCAAACGACTTTCTAGCTTGGTTGCGTGAACCTGCGAGTGAACGGTTGCTTTTGCCTACATAGTAGAGTGAAACATCGCTGTTGCACACACCCGGTATCTAGGACCAATGCGTACTCGCTGAAGCCCTGCTCTTTTCCGACAGGCTCGTAGGCGAGAGGACGACATTTCCATCGTTACCGGCGGCATTCGACTGGTGCTAGAGTCGCGAGGAGGCAAGTGGATCGTGAAGGACTCGTCCATGTGCTTCGGGGGGATGGCACCGACGACCGTTGCTGCCCCCCTCACCGAGGTATGTGTTTTTGGTGATTTCGTCGTCTGGTCATTGTTGTTCCTTTGTGTGGCAACCGTTGTTGGGGACTGTCCACGTTACAACCGTTCCGAACTGTTGTCGGTACCTGCAAACGTCCGTCCGAGTGACGTGCATGCCTTTCATAGTCACGGGCCAACTACTTCAAAAAGGTGCAAACTTCGTCGAGAAATCAATAACTGGGAAATTGGGAAAATCGTTTGCCTCAGACATTGCAACGGCCGACTACAGAAGTGAAGTGCTTCGGAGGGAATGGCGCTTCAGGTAGTACATACGAAGTATATGGGAAGGAATATTGAGTTCATATTGGAGCAATGCTACATGAGATGTAAATTGCTGTCGTTCCATCCTAGTGTTTGTGTTGAACGATTATCCAGGCCTACCTTGTGGGCAAGGAGTGGTCGGCGGAGACCATGGGTGGAGCGTACGAGCTGCTAGCGAAGGACATGCCCCTTTCCTCCAACGCACCAGGTAGCACTTGTCACGTTTCTGTTTTTCGCTGCGGGCGGCACCGATGTCTGGGAACTTCCTATTGCTTATCCGTGTGGTGCCACCAGCATGAGAACAGGTTCACGTGTTCATACCTAGTCCCGGGTTGGTGCACTCTCGCGTTGTTGGTTTCAGAAACTGTTTTGTATTTCGTAAGAAAGAATCTACGATTCACGACGGTGTCCGACTCTCAGAAGGGCAGCCAATGTTGGGTAGTCGGTTGGTATTCTTGTCTACGAGAAGGAGCTCCTCATATCCCACGGGTTTTGTGGCGGGGGTGTTAGTGCCCGTGGGTTAGTGACCCATTTACCTGGTACGTTTTCTGGACAAGGCAAGGGACTCCGCCAATTTGTCGATGGGTCAATGAGTACAGCCTAAAAAAATGTAAGGGAGAATTCGGCTGTCTGGCTCCCGAAAATCTGAACTTGGGGTTAAGAAACACAACTCCGCGGTGGATCCTACATTGCACCCAATATCGCAGTTTATTCTCGGCGATCGTCACACCGTATGAAGCCGACCTAGCCTCCACCCGGAATTGACGTCGGTAAGTACTGTAGCGGGTCGGTACTGTGTGATAAGCACGGGCGATTTTTCTGCGTGCTCACGATACCGATCTGGATTTACTCGGAATCGTCTAGGGGGCTGTTGTGTTCTCGGAGTCATAAGGCTTTGTCGGGGTCGCTGTTCTGTCGCATGGTGGTCTGTCTGTCAACACGGTCCCTCTTACCATCGAAGCTAATGTTTTTCTGTTGGCGCCCACCCCCGTCCGGTTTCACATGTGGTCTGAAAGGTGGACAGTGCGAGTACCGACGGGCCTTGCCGCCGTCCTTCCTGTTCAAGTTCTTCATCGAGGTTTCCCTTCGGCTTGAGGCATTGTCGCTGGAATCCAACGGACTGCTTCCTCCGCCGCCGGTCATTGGAGACGCCGATAGGTTAGAACTACTCGTTACGTGTTTGGGAAGGTTGAGAAATGAATATCCAGGTTTTTCTTTGCGATGTGGCTTCCACTTTTGAGTTCGCGTCAGGCCGGGTCTTTCTTTGTTTATCCGTTGACGCCCTGTGTCATCCCTCCAGGTCTGCGGCAACGAACTTCGTCACCGCGCCAAAGCCCCCGAGCAGGGGACAGCAGGAGTACACACCTCGGGTACGTGGCACGCTGCACGCTTGTCACTCTTGCCATCGTTGTTGTTACCATTGGTCGATGCTGTCATCGGTTGGGAACCACTGCTGTAACTTATTTCTGTACCGTCAGGCAACAGGCAGGATCATTCCAAAAGCGAGCAATACAGATCTAGGGCATTCGGGGAGAAGGCGCCTTCTTTGGGGTTTGTTTCTCGGTTACGTCAATAGGCGGCAACGTCTGACGCGCGACTCCAGGCTCGTTGTAGGGCAGGGAGAGTGGGGTTGGTTGAAGCACGCCGAGACAATATTAAATAACCAGGACTGTGAACGTCGGAGCCATGTACGGTAGATTTGTCGACTACCTCATTCGCTGTTGACGTTCGTAGGAATCGTGTCCTTCTGGAGTTGGACTATTCCGCAGACGACAACACGAGCTACGTGATATGCTGAATTTGTTCCATGCGGCCATGGGACGTCATACATCCCCTTATTTCCTTGGGTAGGTGAAGGTACAACCTGTGCTGGTCTTGCGTTTTTCATCCATCCTGTTGTTCCATAAATGAAAAGTAGGACCGCAATTCATGATCGTTTGGGGGAGAGTAAAATCGAGATGATCCAGAGCTGAGCCAACCCTACAATAGAAAAAAACATCCCCCAAACGAATCGATCGTCGAGGTTTGGCGTCCTCCAGGTGTTATGCAGTGGCCGTCGTGAACACGGCCGACTAAGAGAGGATACCGTAAATGCATGTTTGTACAGTCGAGGCCCGCCCTCATTCACCTTGTACATTCGACTTCACGCAGACAGGAGGAATGCAGAAGGCACGCCCACAGCCTCATGCACCCGTTGTTCGCGACGACGAAACCACGGGTAGGACAGAAAACACCAAAACGAAGAAGGTCGCACTGGAAGGGGGTGTTGGAGACCCCGTCCCACACAAATCAGCGGATCTTCAGGTAACAGCTGCAGTTGCTGTTTTCCGTAGTGGTGACGGTGATGGTGGCATTGTTCTCGGTTATCCCGCTACTCAGGGTTAAGTGGCAGTGGACGTTAAGCGGGCGAACGCACTACGCAGGCCGCTCCTCTGTCTGCTCGTGCAGTATCTGCGGAAGACGCGGACAGACGGCGATGCTCAAGTCTCACCGAGAATACACAAACGTCCTCCTACACCGTACGAAACATCCGGACTTGTGCGCATCGATTGAACACTGAATCAGGTGACGGGAGAGGCTGTTTTCACGGACGACATGCCGTCCCCCGTTGGCACCCTCTTCGTCGGCCTGGTTCTCTCCACGAAACCCCACGCCAAGCTACTCGAGGTCGACCCCTCCCCGGCCCTGGAGGTGGAAGGCGTTTTGCGCTTCGTAGGTGCCGGGGACGTTACCCCGGAGCGGAACGGTATCGGTGCTATTGTGGTGGACGAAGAAGTGTTCGCTGTGGATGAGGTGTGGTACAGATCATTCCGTGTGTTTGGTTGTCGCCCTGCTGTACCGTTTCTTGTGCTTACCTATTTTGCCTCAATAACATACAGCAGGTTTTCATTGTGCTTCTGTGCCTTTTTGTGTTTTCGTTGGCGCGGTTTCGTTTCTTGTGGAGGGTTTGGTACGTACCGCGATGTGTGGTGTACTGGTGTACTACTGTAACCGTTTTGAAGCCACCAATAAATTTTCGCTGCAGAATGAATTCCAGACAGTGTGAAACAAATGGATCTGGGCCGCAGTTCTCCATTTTGAAGACTGGCCCAAATTGTGTTTCACGTGTGATAATCAAAGTGCGTCCGTCATAGTGGCGGGAACACCCTTGCTGCAGTTGGTTAATGTTGATTCCTCTTTGGTTTGTTCTGTGTCGGCAGGTTCACTGCATGGGGCAGGTGATCGGAGCCGTGTTAGCGGAGAGTGCTGCAATCGCAGAGAGTGCGGCGAAGCTCGTGACGGTTCGATACGAGGAGCTTCCGTCCGTAATGACTATTGAGGATGCCATCGCCGCCGAAAGGCACGTACTCAGCCCGATTTCCGGTGCTGGGTGTGGTTTTGCACTTTTGGTTTCAATGCTCAATTTAACCTGCACGCTGGAATGTTGGTTTGAAACTACGCTGCAATCGTTTCCTACAGTGGCAGCCATATTCCCTTTTCTGCTTTATATTCTAGTGGTGTGTGTATTCACGTCTGGTCCTCACTCAATACTAAAAGATGAATCCAGGTGCCATCCCGATGGACAACCAGGTCAATGGGTCTCCCGTAGCGCTTCGTTTCCCCCCCTCTTGCTGCGTTTCTACCTTGGTTTTGTACTGCGTCGCTGGTTCGTGGCATCAACTTGCCTCTCTTGTGCACGGTTGCGCCGCTTGTGCAGCTACTACGACGATAGGCACGCCATTGTGAACGGTGACGTCGACAGCGCCTTGAAGGACGCCAATGTCACGGTCGAGGGCGAGATGGCGGTAAGCTTATGTATGTAGAAGCTGTTGTGGCCGTTCGCGTAAGTCTCGTCGACGAAAGACGGAGCCAAGTCTGATGTCTCATACGCTAAGGCTGGGGTGCAGACTTGAAGCACAGAAAAACGGTGCAAATGCGTCCTTGAGACTACTAATACCATTCAGTGATAAGTGTTTCACACTTGATGAATGCGGGGTTTGACCCTTTTTCTGGGTGTGCAGCGCTGCTTTTGTCGACTTTGGTGAAAATTGTTATTATTGACACGTGCTCGCGTTTGATTTACCGACAGACAACGAACGTCGGCAAACGGGCGTCGTTTCCAATCCTGAAATGTGACGGGCTCCAGGATGCAGGGAACGGTGGCACTTGCATCGATTGTGTTTTTATTGCTGCAAACCAGTTTGCGCAAAGGGAGTTGGGCGATACTCAACCGCAGTATCCCACGAAGTGTGATTTTCAAGTCGTTCTCACACGCAGATTTCTGTGTGTTTTCACAGCTGGTTCTGCTGCCATGCTTCCGTCCCACACGATATCTCAGATCGGTGCGCAAGAGCACTTCTATCTGGAGACGAACACCACCTTGGCGGTGCCCGGAGAGGCGGGGTCTTTGGAGGTCTTCGCGTCCACACAGAACCCCACCTTGACGCAGGATTTCTGCTCCAAAGTGTGTGGTATCGACAAGAACAAGGTGGGTGAGGTCGATGGCGCGGGTCTCTGAGGGATGAGGGCACTGGGACAGTTGAATCTATCGTCCTGTTGCTGGCCGAATCGTTGCTGCTCGTGTTATTGCATGCGAGTTGCGTTGTGTGGTAGATGGGCCCTTCGCTTTGTTCGCCGTGTTGATGCCGTGTGATGCTTCTGCACGACACGAGCCGTCGCCCTTGTTGGCGTCGTGCAACCGCTAACCTAACCCTAACTGCTACGTACGAACAACGCCCCTTTCGAACCTCCGAGGTTGTCTGCCGCACGAAGAGGATGGGAGGAGCGTTTGGCGGCAAGGAGACTCGTTCCATATTCTTGTCGTGTGTGGCTGCTCTCGGGGCCCACTTGACAAAACGGTACGTACGGTACGGAAGTGGGTAGTTGGAGATATCTTTTCCCAAATCTACAAAAATACCTATCGGGTCACACGTGTGCAACGGTGTTCTGATCCGTTCGGTGGAGACCTATTCCACTTCTCTACCAAACCTGACGCGCTTGTTGGTGACGTCGCATTGTTCGTGGCAGACGTGTTTAGCCTCAATTCCATCTTTGATTTCTCGAGTGTTGTTGAGACTCACGATTCTGTGGACGCGGCTCATGCTGCTTTAATGCTTTATCCTTCTTGTACCAATATGATCGAGCAATCATTCCGTGTGCCCGAAAAATATGGACCCGGCGACATCGCAGCCTCTTGGCGCTTGCCGTTCTTCCTCGTGTGTTGAGACCAACCGGTATAGCAACGGCAAAAGCATGTCTGGAGATTCTCGGGTCCACGCCGTAGGATTTTTCAGAATGATGAACCTTTCGTTCATAGCCTATCCAGGGAGACGTTGTGTGGTCACATGAAATGAGTTGACATCGCCCCTTGTTTTGCTGCTTGGGATGGCCTGTCACACGCACATGGTACTCGCAGGCCCGTGAGGATCTGTCTTGACAGGGACGTGGACATGCAGATCACCGGACACCGACACGCCTTCCTCGCCAAATACAAGGCCGGTGCTACCAAGTGAGGTTCAGAGAGACTTCGAAAATTGCTTGTTGTAAATCTTCAGTTACAATACGGGTTTTCGACCATGTCTAGCATCCTCTTCGGCCGAGAAAGAAAGGTCTGGACGCGTTGAACGATCTTGTGTCAACCGATTTTGTCGGTTTGGCGTTGGCGGCTTTTGATGCGATTGGCCTCCAGCCAAACGGCCTGACACATCCAGTATCTGATGATCACATGCAATTGAGGTTGGTAAAGAAGTTTCGCGTGCTCCGTTTTTCTAACGCAACGCAACACGAGGGCGCTAAGTGTTCCCACGTGTCGTACGCATGTCGTGTTACTCATGGTCTTGGCGGCTCAGGGATGGCAAGCTAGTCGGCATGGACGTAACGCTGTACAACAACGCTGGCTGCAGCCTGGAACTGTCCTCTGCTGTCATGGACAGGGCTCTCTTCAGTATCGACAACTGCTACAGGTCAGGCTGACGATGCTTGCGCTGTCATTGTCTTGCCCCTGTCGTCCTAGTCGTTTGTTATCGCGGTGTTGTAGTTGTGGAAAGTAGCGGCGCTCACTTGTTACCCACTGTATTGGCACAATTTCCGATATTTTCTACTCGATCGCGTCCGTCAGTCTCCTTCAGATCCACGGATTCACTCTTGGTGTGTTTTTCGCTCTGTGCATTAACAGCTGGCCGGCTCTGCGCGTGAAGGGGTTGGTCTGCAAGACAAACCAGGCCTCTCACACGGCCTTCCGGGGCTTCGGAGGACCACAGGTAGGAAACCCCGCCCCGCACGACCGCTCCAGGTTTCTTGTCACCTTGCATCACCCCTTGATGACGCTTCGCTCTCGTGAGCCCACTCCGCAGGTCACCCTTGCACCAGATTTCGGACAGATCTTGGCCCCAAGATTTGCTCCGAGGTGGCCTTTCGGCCGAATCTTGCACACCCTGTACAACTACTTTAGTTGTCAGTTGTCTGGCCGACAACTATTTCTTGAACAAGCTGCGCCACTAGCTGCCTGCAGACAATTACTGTTTGGAAAATCTGCGCAACTAGTTGTCCGCAGACAACTATTGGGTAGTTGCTGCCCTGCACAACTATAGTTGTAGTTGCCAGTTGCAGTTGTACAGGGTGTGNCTTGGCCCCAAGATTTGCTCCGAGGTGGCCTTTCGGCCGAATCTTGCACACCCTGTACAACTACTTTAGTTGTCAGTTGTCTGGCCGACAACTATTTCTTGAACAAGCTGCGCCACTAGCTGCCTGCAGACAATTACTGTTTGGAAAATCTGCGCAACTAGTTGTCCGCAGACAACTATTGGGTAGTTGCTGCCCTGCACAACTATAGTTGTAGTTGCCAGTTGCAGTTGTACAGGGTGTGGAATCTTGCACATCTTGCTCTGCTGGAAACAAATCAAACGTGGACCCTGGCGAAACAAATAGGCGGTCTGTATACATCTCAGGCGAAGCTGTGACTATTCTCGAAGGTCGAACAGCTGATTCGCACTCGTTCGGGAGGCAGACTGCCCAAAAGGTCGAAAAATTCAACATTTGTCCATTCCACCTGATTTTGTATTCAGGGTATGCTTGTCACCGAGACGGTTATGGACCACCTGGCCTCTTCCTTGGAAATTGACTCGTTTGGACTGCGCACGCTCAACTTGTACAAGGTTAGTGGACATTCACTTTCTGACGCCAATGCCGCGAGATAGGTCATGCAGACTTCGGGATGACCGACGGGTAGGAATCATCAAGCAGAGGTCGGGGGGACTGAGGTGTAAGTTCGTGAGGGGGTTGCCCTTGTATTGCACGTGTCCGCAGTAACCGACTTGGTGCCGTAGACCCTTGCGCGCATCACGACGGGGGACACGGACAGCGCTGGGGTCATAGCTACATTCAAGGACTGCACGAAGGAGGAGAACAGGAAAAGCTGTGCTCGGGGAGAGCTGTACACGTTGGTGTGAGACCAAATGTGCATAATCGGCCGATACAGAGGCTGGTACAATGACATCACCTAGCTTTCCATGTGGACCCTCCCACCTTGCAACGAACGAGGACGCATCACGGTGACACTCGCCTGCCCCACGCCACTGTCTAGCTCACAGGTTCATCCCAATCATTTTAACTTACCGAGAGTTCGTAGCCTGTCTTCCCTCCCACGATTTTCGCTTTTCATGTCCCCGATGGCTGTAGCCGGAGGAGCCAACGCACTTCGGGCAGCCCCTGGAGGCCTGGAACATTCCCGCCGCTTGGAAGGACATGCAGCAGTGGGCCGACATCGAGCGCCGCGGCAAGGAGGTGATGTGATCCAGTGTTTTTTGTTCGTTAATTTATTCTTCTCGCAAGCGAGTGCAGCCGAACGCGTCACGCGAATTTTCTGGCAAGGGTTGTGTTTTCGAGATGCCGTCCAGGCTTCAACGAGACAGCAAGTGCTGTTCGTTGTGAGTGCCACAAAATGGCATGCCTGATGTGTGTTTGTGTTTTCGTTGCGCCGCCTCTTTGCGCTCTAACTACAGCCGTGGGAGAGGCTTATTGGCAATAAATGACGTCGGTTTGTACCATTTTGGCGGGAAGAATCACCGTCAGACTTGCGCTCCGCGGGTTGACGGGGTACAACGGAGGGATGACTAGGTTGGTCTCGGCATTGTCGTACTGCTGTCGAGGGTATGCAAGTGAAACGCGCAGTTTCCCAACACCCCCTCTGCAATTTCAGAGTTGCTTACTTGATTGGTCCGATCTTGCTCTCCTGTCGGCGTGTCAGGTGGACGCGTTCAACTCCTCCAGCCGTTACAGGAAGAGAGGACTCGCTGTTGTTCCGACGAAGTTCGGGATCAGGTATGTCGCTTGGAACGCGTTCGTGCCCATAGTCTTGGTTGTGAAGTTCGCGCCGGCACCTGTTTGCTCGCAACGAACACCCCTGAATCAGTCCGGAAGCAGGGTTGCCTTCAAGTTGGGGATTACGCCCAGTGTAGTTCATTCCGCGTGAACTCAGCCAAGACTACTGTGTAGGTATAGAAGGACTGGTAGGAGCCCCGGGCTTGGCTGGTGCTTCCCATGCTTGCTGGGTCTATTTGCTGGTCAAATTCACGGCATGGTCCCCCAAACGAGAGCGCTTCCTTCAGTCAATTGATATGTGGGTTTCATTCGAGCAACGCGGCGACCCTCTCCCTCTACCCCCTCCCACTGTGCCGTGGTACTTTTTTCAGCCCCAAATTTTCCGGCTCATTCCTTGACCCTTATCCAAGCTCACCTTATGCGTCTGGTATACCTTGGCTCTCATGTCTCCATCGGATCGATCTACTTCTTTGGTCCCGCCCGGCATATCACCTGCACCCCCCCCCCCCCCCCCCCCCCCCCCNCCCCCCCCCCCCTCCCCCCTCGATGCGTGGATGCTTCAAAAAGCTTTACGGTGAGATTTTTGAACCAGGCCGGGGCGCTCGTGCACGTGTACTTGGACGGGACAGTGCTGGTTAGTCACGGTGGTACGGAGATGGGGCAGGGACTCCACACGAAGGTCTGCCAAGTCGTGGCCAACGAGTTCAACATCGACGTGGAGAAGGTATGCTCCCACCAATTTCAAGCCCATCGATTAGAACAGTCTTTCGACCGCGTAACCTCGGTGTTCTTGAGTGTTCAGCTGGCTCACGCTGAGTTGCGGCTGGTTGCTCAAGCAGGGGCCCACTGCATCAAAACGCCGCCAAAAGAGCGACGATGACCGACTCCTCCCCTCCAATCGATCATTCTACGCGAGACGGTCATGCATAAGTGCCCATGAGCATGCCAACAGTTTTGCCCTTCGTACGTGTTCATCAACTCGGTTGAATACTACATCTGCCCGCCATTTGTGTGGGACCGTCGTGACAGGTACACATCTCGGAAACGGCAACCGACAGAGTTGCCAACACGACCCCTACAGCAGCATCCATGTCGACGGATCTGTACGGCATGGCCGCCCTCGACGCGTGCGAGCAGATCACGGAGAGGCTCCGGCCCATTATGGCGCAACTACCGGAAGGCACTCCATTCGCTACCATCGTTCAGGCAAGCGCCACGAAGTAATAGTTGTACTAGAGCCAATCGCGTATACGCCAACGGTTTTTTCTGCTGTACGATCTCTCCATGGGTTCAGGTTGGGTATTCTATGACCTGCTTCATGCCTGTAGTTTTCACGGCATGGAAGCGATACCAATATTTGGTGACCTCATATATTTCGAAAGAGTCCGTGGATATTGCGATATTCTGAAGATCTAGCCTAGACTTTTCCTGTCGTGAGCCCGCTACTGTTGCAATAATACAGTGGGTTTGAGATGAGGCCGAGGCGATCCCCCGAGCTATCATACAATCCGATATATGTTTTATAAATCCAGAACGTTTGAGCAGACCATGGAAGCGGTGAACAGAGACATTTGTCACACATATTGGACCGTCGCCGATGTGACTCTCTTTGCTTGGGTAGTCACGGCCACCGTTGTACCTTCTTTGTTTTTCCTTTCGTTGTATTGCCGGCATTTTTGGTGGACCTTTCGACCAAACAACCTAACTCCATTGTCGGTCGCCGTAAAGCCGGCAGTTGGTGTGGGAACCGTGCTGATGGCTGACGTGTATTACCGTGTGGTTGGTTGACACCTTATCCGCCCTTGAACCCCAGGCTGCGTATTTCCAGCGGATCCAACTTTCGGCCCAAGGATTCTACGTTGTGCACGCCGAGCGATGTAATTACGATTTCGACATGGAGACCACCAACAACAGGGACAGAGGTCTCCCTTTCAACTACTTCACTCAGGTGGGGAAACGGACGACAACGCCACGTCATGCCTCTTGCGATGAGTCGCTGCCGAATGAACTGGGCAAGCGCACAGGGTAAAATTTATTGCACATGTGCCTCAGCGAACTTCTGCCGCTGATGACGGTGATACCGCCACTGCTGCTTCCGTCGCTGATAAGGGTGTTGCGGCCAGCGAGGTGGAAATTGACTGTCTCACCGGAGACGCGAAAGTGATCAGGGCTGACATCCTCATGGACATCGGGACTAGCGTCAACCCGGCTATCGACATCGGTCAGATCGAGGGAGCTTTCATTCAGGTTGGCGTTCGGTGCATGCTCGATGTCGTTGCGCCTTGATCTACAGCAATGCTTCCGAATATCAAGATTCGTAATTGGCTCTATCCAGCTCGCTTTTCATACACTCCATGCACTTCATCGCACGGCACTCTACATTAGATGGATGGTCGGGAAGGTGAGACAGCCTTCATCAATGAAAATGGATCGCGTTTTATTTTTTGAAATTGGGAAATCATACGACGAACTCCGTCGCGAGCAACGCAGAGCAGTATTTGGTTGATGTCAAGTGCCAAGCTCGCCCCAGTCTTTTTTTTCCCTCTCTTCTGTGAGCTTGAAGCATGGGCGGCTCTCCATCAGGTGTTTTTCACTACCCTCTCGGTGTTCGTATGTTGGTTACGTTCGAGCATACATCGTGCTCTTGTCCAACGTGTGCCCAACGCGTTTCAGGGCTATGGCTGGTGTACGATGGAAGAAACAAGCTGGGGAGACTCGGAGCATCTCTGGGTAAAACCCGGGCAGCTCTTCACCAAGGGCCCCGGCACGTACAAAATCCCGTCTTTCAACGATGTGCCCTCGGACATGAGGGTCAAGCTCATGGACAGGGCGAACGCCTTCGCAGTCCACTCCTCGAAGGTGATCAAGACACTGCTTCATACTTGGTAATGTTTAGGTTGTTTGTCATAAGCGCGGCACAACAGAGCAAGAGGCCATATGAACTTCATCTTTGATCTTGGTTGAGCGTGCTTCGTGCGGTGGCCGCAGCCTTTCCTCTTGCACGATTTCCGCAAAATGATGTCACGAGTAGTGTGTTCGAGATTTTCACTCCGGCCATTGGCGGCTAGACTTGGTCAATTTCTTCGCGTTGCGCCCTTCCGAGGCAGTCATGATGAACCAGGGGCTTCACATGTCGATGAGAGGGCCTGTAGTGAGGCGTTCACCTCACCTCATGATGTTTCATACACACAAGGCACCGTGGTCCGCTTGAACATGATGACTGGCCCCGTAGCGTAGCTACTGATGCTTAACATTTTGCAGGCTTGCGTGTATAGTGTGGTTTTCTCGTCGAGCGCAGAGGGTGATAAGCCGTTGAGGGCACCGCAGTAGCATCACCATTGCAATGTGGTGACACCTACCCACAACATTCAGGTTTTTCCATTTCGTTGCCCTTAGGCTGTGGGGGAGCCCCCGTTCTTCCTCGCATCCTCGGCATTCTTGGCCATCAAGGATGCTGTGGCATCAGCGAGAAAGGACCACAATAAAGGCAAAGCATCCTTTTTCCGACTCAACAGCCCAGCCTCTTCCGAAAGGTCGGTGGGACCTATTAGAGGAGGTGTTTCGTTTAAATTGGGCATTGCGTTTTTTTACGTTTTGGTCTTGGTTCGTACGCGTAGCCCCGATGTGTGAAGTTTTGCGGTCGAAGTCCCCGAATCTATGGCCGCGAAGGCAAGAATGCTGCGCTCCTGTCTCTTGCGGCCGAGCACATGACCACGATGTGGGCCTGTGGATAGCGTACGTCGTATGTATATGGATTTTTCTGTTCGTTACGACTGTTCAGTTGCACGTGTTTTGTCTGTCTTGTGAGTGGGAAATTATCCGGAGTTCTTTGCTGGGTTAGCAATGTTGCTGTGTTCCATTCCAATACCTCGCCTCCTTGCGATCGTCTTCCTTTGATAGGATTCGCACGGCTTGCCTAGATGGCATCATGGAGCGCTCCGCTGCCGCTGAAGACGGCGAAAGTTCTGTCCACGTTAGTGACTACCAGGCGAAGGGCTCGTGGTAACGGGTGTTTTGCTTCCTCTTGCCTCAGGATGCTGCTCCTCGGCCTGTTTCACTCTGCACGGAGAGGCTCGATTCACTACATTTGAGCTGACAGTAATGATTATGTAGGCATCGAACCAGGACTCTCGTTCATGTTGAGCCGTTAAGGTGTTGAAAATGTAGGCGGCATGGTGTGAGTGTTTCGGGCAAGTGTGAAATTCGTCAATCAAGCAGTCCGATCGTTCGCTGCTTTCCGTGTGCCGTGTAAAATCCACGCTCTTCCGCGGGGGACACGTGAATCCGGAACACAATGTCGAAAATTTCTTCTAGCCACCATTCAACGTGGATCCTTGTTGCGGCTTGAAACTAGGATTGAACATTGAGGGGGCTCGCTACATGTACTCCCCCGTCCCGCCTGATAACACGAACCTAGCGGCAGGTTGTGGGTTCGATGCTCTCTCCAGTTTTTTTTTTTTCCGGGATGTTTTTCCAGCAACCTGCGGTTGAAAGTGATCTACTGTATGTCGTAACTACCTTCGGCTTCACGGTCGACGAGGAAAAGAGATGCCTGAACCCTTCTCGCGGTTAACAATAAGGCGAGCAGGGGCGCGGCAACAGGCTGGGAGTGAAGAGTCGGCCCTGCCCCGATCCCATCCCACTTCATCGGAGAACATGAAGCACTCGGAGGCCACCTCAAACACTGGTTCAAGAGGTTCTACTGCTCCGTCAACGCCACCCGTCATTGTGGGTGTGCGAGTGAGGAAACAAAGCCACCGGCACATTTCCGACCCCGGATGAGGGCCAAACAACGCCGCGGAAAGCACGGTGAACATGACACAAGGACGTTCCAGAGCCGGTTCCGGGTCACTCGGGTGGTTGGAGAGCCAGGCCATCGGTGCGACTAGAAGCCGTCCTGCGCGCTGACCACGTCCCTCGAAGGAGGGGCCGCTCGCGAGCTAAGGCCTAGTGCTGTCGGTTGTGGCACCTTGCCAGGGCCCCGTTCTTGCATAAATATGCTTTTACCTCTGTCGGCGAACGATAGCTATATTGCCGATGCATCTTGCGTGGTCCATCTATCGTATTCCCGCCCCTTCCAAGGAGAGGAGCCCTGGAGGAAGGACACTCCCGCGAAGACATGGGCCCATCACCCAGTCTACCGGTCCGCGGCAACATCACTACACCCAATCGTCAATTTCTTTGGTTCGTACTCGTCGCGATCGGTATCGTAGACCCCGCATGAGACTGGTGTCGGGGGCCATTTTCTCCCAGGTTGATGGGCAGCGGTTGTTTTGGGTGGGAAGGTGCACGTCACTCAGGTTCGTGTCCGCCTGTTGCCCTCGACATTCCAACCGCCGTACCCTTGTGGTCGTGGCTGTCTTCGCCCTCCGTGCCACCCATTGACCTCGTGGGCACACGGGTTTCATTCAAGTCCAATGTTGACTAAATTTGGTGGCTTAGAGAGGGAAATAGGGGAGCACTGCGAGTGAAAGCGGCAGATATATCATTTTCTCTTCAGAAAGTGGCGGATTCTCAACCTCCCACTCGATCTAGATTGCCACACCAATTTTCCCTGAACGCGCTCCACGAATGAATGTAAGCATAGCGTATTCATTGGAAAGACGGGGGGAATGAGGCAAAACGCGACCACGGTATTTGATTACGCTGGCAGTGAAACGTGGGTGACACCGTTTTCGTACAGGCGTGATGAGCAATGCAATATTCGTTGTTGTGCATTGATGAACGAATTTTTGCCGTACCTATGCTGACGTTTTCCCCCAAGGCGAAGACAGAGCGCATGAAGAAGAGCAGTCGTGTGAGGGGGCAAAAAGAACCAACCGAGCGGTGACCACTGTAGCACTGACACTCCTGGACATGCCCGCGCCCAAAAGTAGAACATGGGCGGGTTCCGAGCTAAAGAC